ACAGTGTACTATGATCTATTAATAAAGGCAAAATACTGCCAATGCTGGAAATCTGAAATGAACACAGTGAACTTTGAGAAACTCAGCAGGTCTGCCAGTGTCTGTGAAGAAAGAAACAGTTAACATTTCGAGTCTGGTATGACTCTTCTTCAGAATTTGTTAGATAAAAATTTATTCTTGCCCAGACTTGGTAGACAGGGAGAATTTGGTGCCCTGCTTTGCAGCCAGAGTCCTGGAGGTTCAGCTGGATGGGGTATGGGGTGGTGCTGGTGTGGGATTTCCTCTTTCCCCAGGACCAGCAGTAGAGACTACAACACCCAACCATATCAGCCTGGTCCACAATTGCCACTCAGGTTAAAGCATTGTCAATCACCTGTTACAAGAAGATCAATATCCTTCTCCACTCCACTAGCATTAGTGCCACCACCTTCGTTCCAACTCTTTTAATACTCTCTCCATCTCTGCTGCTGCACCACCCTCCACCAAGGCTCATGCTGTATCACTCTCACTATTGCCTGCATCTTCTTCTCTCACTCACTCTCACCCACCCCCAACTCCTGACCCCACCAACCCTGCATGCCCTCTGCGCTGCCTGCTCTCTTGTTTGAGACACCGCCCCACCTGCACCAAAAGTAACAGCTGACCCAACCATTTTCACCTTCAGTATGTATCTTCCTGTCTCTCATTCCATGAGGAAAACAGTCCACAACAAGTTGGAAAGAGCCAAGACAAGTGGTATGCTGCTATTCACTTTGTTTCTCAACCCTTATGAGGACAGGATCCAGTCTGTGACCATCCCGAGCAGGGCCTAGACTGCTATTGGAGGCTGCCCTTGACTTACTCTGCTAGGACCCCCTGAACGTTGGCCCTGTGGACAACAATTATAATTTTCTGTTTGCTGTCTGTGCTAAATGGTAAGGTAAGACTGCAACAATATGAACTTGGTATCTCTGGCTGAGGGGGAAAAGCACAATATGACTATTTCTGTAGCATCCAGGTAGCTCAGAGTGAGTGAGCACAATGACACTTGAGCAAAGAGTTCAGAGATGTAGCCTGGTTCAGTCCATGAGCTGAGTGCATGTCACTAAGCACACAGTATCCTTGCTCTGCTTTAGTGATACCCATGATAGAGTCATAGATTTGGAGAATGTGGGCAGATGCAGAATTAAAATGTAGAAACATACAGTAAGTCGATCGGAGATGCATCCTTATAGTTCCTAGAGGCTGACATGTGTCAGATTCCAATGTCTGTGGGTGAGGGATGCATGTAACCAATGTTTATCAAGGTGCTTCAGAGCCAATAACAAGCCGAATCCATCAGGTGCTTTCTCTGGTTGTCTTGCTGCGTTTTCCCCACGTTGAGCTTTTTTGTGAGTTTGGTAAGATGGAAACCTAAATATTACTGACAAGTGGTGTTAACAAATCATTTAACAATCAATAATGAGTGACCATTGGCAACTTACCACTGCTCGTGGGAATCTGCTGCTTGCGAGAAATGTAAAAGATGGAGCGCCATGATCTCGACATTGCCTCAGTCTGTCAGAAATGTTACAATGAGCCACATCACTCTGACCCCTATAAGATTTTGCCCATTGTTACTTTCATCCAAGGAGTGGATAAAACATCTTGTGGATCTAGAAGCTCCCTCTGCTGCTGGGGATCGATATGTTTTCCAGGTATCACAGGCATTCATGAGTCATTGAATATTCTGATTCATCCCTGGCCAGTACAGACTCACATGTCAGCCATCTTGTATATTCAATGTGTCCTTAGTGTGATATGGGCATGGTATTTTGGTGTAAAGCTTTAGGTGTTTTTGTTTGCTTTTGAAAATGATTGGTCGTGATTTACCAAGTTTGCCTCTAAAAGACCAAATGGATGAATTTTCTTTGGTACTTTTTTTAATACGACCACACCATTCCTGGTATTGATCATTTGCAACTCTTGTAATTGCTTATCCACAACAGTTGCTTATTGCAATTGTTCACACTGGCTGTGGGTAAAACGTTACAGAATATCCTTTAGAACGTCTTCAACTTCATTGTCAAAACCATCAATGTGTAGATCAAGAGCAACATCTTGGTCTTTGTGTGGGTAGAGTGCTGCTGTTATCAGTAGGCACAGGTTGTGGTCATGTTCTATCCTTGTCTTACCAATGATCACTATGTCATCAGCAATACAAATACAACCAGTTACATTCTCAATAATCGTGTCCCTTTGCTGCTGGAATAGGTCTTGGCTAATTGTGAACCCAAATGGTAACCATCGTGTACATTATCATCCAAATAGCATCATAAATCTTGTGAGTCTTGGGATTCTTCTGCGAAATAGACAGATCTGTCTAAATAATTGATAAAGAATAATACATAATAAATATATATCGTGCTGAATCCTTGCTCCACATCTAACTTAGAGAAAAAGCATTGTTCTGGAATATTTAGGATTGAATTCTTAAAGTATTGGTATTTTACATGGACATCTTTTAAGTGAGAGGACAAGGCACCTGAGATCTAGGCAAACTCTAATGGTGTCACCTTCCTTTAAAGCACAGATGATAATGCAGGTATACCAGTCTGTCTGGTGCTCAACCTTACAAATGGGCCCATCTTGCTCCATCCTGTTCAGTTCTGCTCAAAACCTTTCTGGAATATGCCCACTGCGCTTCCTTGGCGGACCAATAAATGGGGTCATTAAGGATGCAACTCTACACTACCTTTAAAATTTTCAGTTGCGCATAATTCATCTGGATGCAGGCATTTGAGATTGTTGATTGATGCAATTGTATCAGGTATAGTCAGTTCTGTCACAGTGGGCATGCTTTGAGTCTTATGAATTGTGACTATACCAAAACCTGTGCTTATTGGAATCCTGCCATTGCTGTACTGTTGGGTTTGAGCAGGTGGAAGATTTCAGAGAGGCAAAGTGACCTTGCCTTTTGGCACTGCAGTGTAATTCTTTCAAATTCTATTGATCTATTTGATCAATTCTACCCTGTGAGAGAGCCTCTCATAGAGGGTGCCATGGAGCACCACTTGCTAAGATATATGTCTTTCAGGATAAGTAGTATGTTGACACCAGCCACCGTGTCAATGTTATCTGTTGGTGTCAATTATCCTGCATTTTCAGGACAAATTACATTAATAGTCACAAAAGTTTCTGATCACCCTGCTTCATCAACATGGCATTTGACACTACTAATAGAGAAAGCTTGATATTCTTTTGAAAATTGCCTTTCACTTGGTTGACTTTGAACTTCATTTTGGAAGGTTGAATTTGAATGCAGAGTAGAGGGTTAATGGCAGGATTCTCGGCAGTGTGGAGGAACAGAGGGATCTTGGGGACCACGTCCATAGAACCCTCAAAGTTGCGACCCAAGTTGATAGGGTTGTAAAAAAGGCGTATGGTGTGTTGGCATTCATTGGCAGGGAAGTTGAGTTTAAGAGCTGTGAGGTTATGCTGCAGCTCGCTAAAACTCTGGTTAGACCACACTTGGAATATTGTGTTCAGTTCTGGTCACCTCATTACAGAAAAGATGTGGACGCTTTAGAGAGCGTGCAGAGGAGATTTACCAGGATGCTGCCTGGACTGGAGGGCAGGTCTTATGAGGAAAGGTTGAGGGAGCTAGGACTTTTTTCATTGGAGCGAAGAAGGATGAGAGGTGACTTGATAGAGGTTTACAAAATGATGAGAGGCATAGATAGAGTGGACAGTCAGAGACTTTTTCCCAGGGCAGAAATGACTATTACAAGGGGGCATAATTTAAGGTGATTGGAGGAAGGTATAGGGGAGATGTCAGAGGTAGGTTCTTCCCACAGAGAGTGGTGGGCGTGTGGAATGTGCTGCCGGCAGTGGTAGTGGAGTCAGATACTTTAGAGACTTTTAAGCGACTCTTGGATAGGTACATGGAGGATAGTAAAATGTAAGATATGCAGGGTAGATTGATCTTAGTGGGATAATAGGTCAGCACAACATCATGGACTGAAGGGCCTGTACTTTGCTGTTCTATGTTCATCGCAGGGCTTGTATCTATGCACCTTCTTAAAACTTTCCTTTTTGCCAGTGTTTTCATATTATACTACCTTGTCGGTCACCTGTATTTTGTCCTGAGAGTTGGATCGATCTTTGGTACCAAAGTTCCTGTACACGCATACCCAAAGTCTCTTAGTGTCACATGTTTACAAGTAACAAGGAAACTTTGCCACAGACAAGCCAAGTATGTTACAGATGTTGCTGGTTATTTATGCTTTGTTGAACATAGCAACATGTAAAGCAAATGATTGTTGCTTGTCACTAGGCCTTTTATACTTGCTCCATCCTGAATAATTAATCAATGGTACAACCCTTTTTTGCCCAAAAGATTCTTTATAAACTCTTTAATGTTAAAGAGATGACAATTAACTCAACAAGCCTCAACAGTTCCTTTCCAAAAAAGCCATGCCAAAGCTCTTTGGTGTGATATCTTGTGATAAACCTGTCAATAGATTCTTGAGGTTGTTCTCTGTATGAATATGAATAACAGTCTGTTAATCCTGAAGATGCTTTTTACTTTAGTCTTCTAGAACTTTCAAGATGTTTTCTGCATCTTGCTGACTGGCATTGGAAATGCCAGCTATGTTAATGCTGCAAAGACTCTTCTTTGCAAACAAGATTTTCATGGTACATTTCTTGGTTCATCTGTCACCTGACCTTTAAATAGCATTGCATATATTGAATAGTCATAATTCAGTAAAGGTGGCATTGATGCCTAATCCATAATTAAACGTTTGCCTTCCAGTTCTCTTCTTAAAAAAAAATGTACAGTGCATTACAGTGCAGTGTTAAGTGGTTTGCCTCTCTTTTATTTTTCTCTTATTTGCTTCTGCTTTTCTTCATTTTACCCTACTGCTGCTCCTTTATGAATTGCAGGCTTGCAGTAGCAGATTTTTGCCTCTTGATGGCATTCACACAGATAAGAAGTGATCACGTCACATGGACTCATTCATCTATTTTTGCATTGATTAGCAGAAAGAAAATGGCTGAACTGACCGACATCTAGTCACAGGTAAGCCTTCTTAATTTCGAAACCACTTTCTCTGATGTTTTTAAATGGCATTTTCTTCTAAGTGATCTTTGCAGATGTGTTTTCAGGACCACTTTCACAACAATTTCTCTTAAATTGGACCGACAGGCATTAATATTTTTTGTTTAACTGAGACAGATCTGGAGAACTGGCTGTGCCTCATTAAAGTTCTTGGTCTTTATTTTTGGTTCTATTTAGAACTTCAGGCTTTTTGTTCTTGAGTAAGACATTCATAGTAATTTATTTTTACTTGAGATGACTTCTAATCTGAAAAGAATTAGCCCTGTTACCTTGTTTTTCAATATATTATCCATTAATGTGGCTTTCTGTACTTACAGGAACATCTTCAAAGCTACTGTCCAGTTGATCTGGGTAGTTGGTCTTTCTCAACTTTCTGCCATTAAAATATTGAAGTCTTCTTTACTTTACTAACCATGGTGTGATTTTGTCTCCAGCAAAGTGTTGTGTTTGATACAGCAATGCTTATGCATCTTCCATAACATTAGAAACTCAATGTTGATGTTCATGGTATCGAAGAATCCAAGAGATATTTATTATAGACATTATATACAAGTATTAAATTCACAGGCACATAAGTGTCTGGATTAATGTTATTACAAACAACAGTATGCTTCAAGTGATCCTGGTGTAATGTGGAGATACAGACCTTTATAACCTTATGTCACATGTTATGATACTGTGCTGATATCATGAGCATTTCACTTAAAGTTATACTGTCATAATTACCATGAGAAATAACACAATAATACCCATTGGACAAGTGTGCTGACTCTGAGCATATCTTACAGTTGCTATTGTTTCATAGTCTTAGGGAGCTCAGCATAAGAATCATTTCTGATAGGGGCCATTCCAGTGTGGAATGGAAAATTGCATGGTGCTACAAGATTTAAAGATCTGCATTAACTAAAGATATAGACAACAAGGTTTACAAGCACACATAAAACATGGAGCACAGAATTCTCCATTTCTCTAATGTACTCATACAAAATACTGATGGAGGCAATATGTCAGTGGGGGCTGGAGGTGTTATTTGGAAAGTAAACCATTGGATCTCTTGTCAGTTGCTCACCATAAGTGTGAGGAAGTGTTTGTTTAGTTGTTGTGTATTTTTGTCTTTTTACTGTATTTATCTATGGTACAGGGTACTTGTGGGTGGCTTTTCAGTTAAATACAAAAGAAGCTGCCATATAAAGGAACAAAGTAAATATACCAGCATTTTTCATAGGGCTTCCCAAAAGGTCATCGTATATCTGCCCAAAGATAATCGAAAACACAATTTACATATTGGTAGTGAAATTGGTCCATGTCAGTAACATGAACTGAACTCATGGTGAATCAGCAGCTTGTTGTACACCACAACCAATTTTCTTCTATGTTAATCAGGCACATTTCAAACACTCCACCAAGTTACTCGGACTCTGTTCTACTCAAGTGATATGGAATTTTGTCAGTCCTGGTGTATCCACGGCTATTCCCCAATCCATTGCCAGATTAATAGCAGCTGGTGGGGAAAAGGAAATTCCTGCCGATAGCATGTTTGTGGTAGAATTCTATAATGTGGCTCCTTCCCTCAAACCAATTGCCTGGAGTCAACTAAACAGTAGTCATCACAACATTTGTGTCAACTTAGCTCAATACATGGTTTCTGTGAGAGCTGCTGGTACTTAACTCTTTAAGTGCACTGACTGGATAGATTGCAAAAACTGGGAATTACAGAAGCAGCAGCATTATTGTTAAGAACAATGATCTATTCATCTGATTACAGTGCAGGAGGTTTAATGACTTTAACAGGCCAGTTTAGAATCCATTTTCTCTGGATATGTTCCTTCACTCATGTCTTTATGTGCACTCTGGTCAAATTAATTTTCTATCAATAGGAGTTACATGATGCATGAAGGTGTCATTGCTCCAACATTTCACATTCTGTTTTATTTCTCACTTTTGATGTGAAGCAACTGTCCATCTCAACATCTCAAACAAAATGGAAGAAGATTTAATTAGCATTACGTTTCTGAGCTTTCACTTTTGTTTTGTCTAGTCTTCAAAACTATCATCCTAACTGATCCTCCTTCTGAAACACATTCTCACTTATTGAAGTCAAGATTAATCCTGCAATTGCATTCTGTTAATTATACACCTTGCTCTTCAAGTCCAACGTCCTCAAATATTCCCTCCAGGTTTCTAAAAGCTACATTCGCTGTTACCTGATTATAACTTCCTGATCTACCTCATCACTGTTTCTTGTCTTTAACTCTGATGGTGCCCTATACTCACTGTGGTGTTTTATAATCAGTACGTTAAGTGGATTGGCCATGCTAAATTGCCCATAGTGTCCGGAGATGTGTAGGTTGGGTGGATTAGCCATGGGAAATGTAGGGTTACAAGGATAGTGTGGGGGGTGTGTCTGGGTGGGATGCTGATCAGAGAGTTGGTGTGGCCTCAATGGCCGAGTGGCCTGCTTCCAAACTGTAGAGATTCTGTGATTCTATATGTAGTGTTCTTGGAAGAATAGCAGTTCAATTGTCTCTATTTTCTTTATGAAGATGGTGAACAATTCATTATTTATCTAAACTGGCTGTCTGATTTCTTTTATCATACACGTTCCTTTAGGTCATGAACTGTGCTAGGACACAGATTTAAAGAAATGCACAACACTAGAAAATATTTTTACGTTTTGTTGCAAACCCCACCCTCATTATCAGGTTTTCAGTTATTTCAGTTATCCACTCCACCCTCAATTATACTCCTCCCTGGGTAGAAGGCTCTCAGTTACAACCCTTTTTTTTACAAGACACCCAATTTTATTGTGATGTTTTCAACAATATTGAGCTTTCAATTACATTCTGGTATATTTTCAATCAGTTATCTCCAACAACTGCAGTTATAGTGAAAATTATTCAAGATATTGGTCAAGATTGGTTCCTGTAGCTCACCACCTATTTTGCACCTCAATTTTCTATCAGGTTGATGAACAGCATCAAAAGTTTCCATTACTTTCCTAGCTGCAATACTTAAAAGAGATTCCAATTACATCACTTCGACATCCATGCAATTTCTCAGAGTTTGTAATGGAAAAGCACTTTGAATCATTAATGCTCATGAATAAAATGGGTGTCTGTGGTTTCTTGAAGTTGTACTCTCAACAGACATGCATTTAAAGAGAATTTTCGGAAGACCTTTTATTAATTTTGCGTCTGATTTTCGAGATATATTTTGTGGATATTTTGCCCCGTTTTCCTCGTCAGCACTTATTTCTTAGCAAGCTTTCTGTCCAAAGTTTTGGCATTTTTTTTGTGTGTGTTATTAGTGCAATGGGATAGCTATTCATCCAAATCCATTTTACTTATGATTTTTGGAGAAAGGAAAGGAACAATCAAATGTTCACGAGGGGCAGAACCTGCCCCTTGAGTAGTATCCATAATTATAGACAAAAGAGCATTTATTGGATTTGTCACTGAACTTCGTTGACAAATGCCCCAAAACTATCAAGTAGACAATGATGTAGCTGTGTCAACTATTGCAAGGACACCTGCAGTAGGCATGCGCCATGTGATGGATACTGGCCACTGGCAGTGATAGTCTACTGTTCCTTCATGTCCTGTACCTCCAAACCCCCTCTGTGACAACCAGTCCTTTGGGAGATGGTCTCACAACAGGCCCACACATTAGATCAATACCTTATGCAGCACCACCTTATCAACTAATACATTTTATACTTGTGCCAAACCCTTGACCAAAAATTCAGTTTCCTGCCTTTACATTCATGAGTCATTGAGTTTTACCAACCATGACTCTTTCCCAAATAAAGCAGAACCTTACATTCATATTGGATGTCCATCTGAACTTTTTGATGCGCATAACAGCAGATTAACTACTTTGAATTGCTGTTCTTTTGGTAAACGCAACAACTCTGCTTCACACAATAAGAACACAAAGATAATTAATCAATGAACAGTGAAACCATTTGTTTTTGGTAGTGTGTTTGAAGGATGAATATTAGACAACTCTTCTCATCTTCTTTCAATAATGCCACAAGGTCATTCACGTCTAGCTGTGAGGACAGACTGCTTAAAGACAGCACTCCCCCAACACTGCACCACATATATGGACATTGTGCCAGCCTAGACTAAATGCTCAAGTTCTCAAGTTAGACTTGTCCGCCAAATGTTTTGACTCAGAAGCAAATGTGCTAGCCCTAAATGAAGGAAAGGGAGAAAAAGGTGAATTATGATTGAAAGCTTTCGGAACAGCAATAGCAGTTTAATATCTTTGGTGTGACCCTTTCTACAACTTGATTTGTTTTTGCCTTTCAGGTACTGAAAGAATTGCTGCGCAGTTTTGGTTTTTATTTCATAGCAATATAAAAGCTGGGAAATGTTGGATGATGATGGTAAACAAGAGTCGAATACACACATTAAAGTAAAGTCACCATAGCCCAAAAAGACCACAAGCTGCTCCCTCATTGGACAATGATGACTGGTGATGAGTTTAGCCGGAGGTTCACCTCGACTCAGATGAGAGGAGAGGTTGAGAAGGTGGGTCCTTCATGGTAACCTCAGGATGCTTGACACAATCCAGGATAAAGCAGCCTACTTGATTGGCACCACATTCACACGTATCCACTCCCTCCACCACCGATGCTCAGTAGCAGCAGTGTGTACCATCTACAAGATGCGCTGCAGAAATTCACCGAAGATCCTTAGATTGCACCTTCCAAATGTACAATCACTCCATCTAGAAGGACAAGGAAAACAGATACATAGGAATACCACCACCTACAAGTTCTCCTCCAGGCCGCTCACCATCCAGACTTGGAAATATATCACCATTTCCTCACTGTCATTGGGTCAAAGTCCTGGACCTCCCTCCCTAAGGCTTGTGGACTGCAGCAGTTTAAGAAGGCAGCTCACCACCACCTTCTCAAGGGCAAATAGGGACGGGCAATAAATGACAGCCAGCCCACTTCCCACAGATGAATAAAATAAAAGGCAATGTGGGATGTGAGCCCATATTGTTGGTGTCAATCTGAGTCATAAACCAGCCTTCCAGCTAATTGTCTCCCACACAGAAGTGCATTAATTAGATTCACAGCTTAATTTTTTATTTCAACCTTCAATTGCGATTATTCTGGTTACATTTTAGAATTTTATTCTGTTCATTGTCATTTTCTTCCTAATTTGATTTTTTTTAAACCCTTACCATGTCCCAGACCAAAATACCTCCAGTAATTAGTACAAGGAAACTTCCAGGTCAACGGATAACATTGTGAGAAGTTTGAAAATTGACGCAGCTGCAAAAACATTTTTTTTAAATGATCTGACCATTGCTGTAAAAACGAAGGGCTGCAACACAGACACAGCGTTTCCACAGAGCTGGTTGGTTTCAACTGTGGTGCTCCAAAAATAGAAAGACCAGGATCGATCAATTGATTACTTACTAATGATACATGTGAACAACTGTTAATTCTGTTAAATGAATAGCCTGTTTACCACAAATGCAACTTATTTATCAGGAGATTCTCGTCAGTGTGGCTTGTTGGTGAGGGGATTATTTTAGGTACTATTAACATATACTGCATGATTTGGAATTCCTTTGCATGTGGAATATATGTGCCCCCAGCTTTAATGAGAAATATCTAATTGTCCTTACACAGGAACATAAACCTTTTCTACAATGTGAGATACTTCACACTTTAAACCTCATGAAAAGTTTCCTATTTTAACATTCGATAGTTATTTAACAATAAATACATTCACTTACCACACAGGTGAGAACTTTAACTCTAAGCTCTCAAGATGTTTACCGAACATAATTTCCTCGTTGACTGAAGTATTTTATGTACAAGAATGCAAAATGTAATAGCTATAATGAAAGGAAGACAATGTAAAGGTCAACATTAGAGCTAAAAGTTGAAAAAACACTTTGCTTACTCTCAAACAGTTCATTAAATTCAAAGATTAATGACCATATTTGCATGGAGTTGAGCCAGTTCGGAATGACTTCAACATGACAGGTGAAAGCTAGCTGCTGAAATCCCATGTCCATTTCTCCAGCAGACCCCTTATGCCAGAGGTGGGAAGTCTTGGGTGTGAATCACACAGAGGGGATCCTCAGTCTTGGCAAGGCCGTTTGCAATTAGTGTCCAACTCAAACAGATTCTATTCTTGCTGTTGCAGCATCTTAATTGACATTGTGAGAATGACAATGTTATGGAGGAATTGTAAATGCTCTTGAACGGAAGATAAGATCGATTGAAATGTTATGGTTCGAAGCAATTTAAATCCTCAGCTCTTTTAAAATGAAAAATAAAAATAACCTACAGTTTTCGGTTACAGTAAAACAGTAGACAGCCCCTGCTAAAATGCATTGATTGACAGGCAATCGGGTACAACCCGGAAAAAGAAATAACATTTATTCCTGTCTTTTCAATAGATTTCATTGCTGACATTTCCCAAGTATTGTTCTATGGCTGAAGTCATTATGAATGCTTGGTTGTATTTTAAAACCTCCAAATCTACATATCTCAATGGGAGTTTACATTTTGTTTGAGAGTTTTAAGAGATGTTTAGAGTATTGGCTACCTTTGATGTGGTTATTGAATAAAAGTTTGTTTGTTTTACAACAGAATATTCACTTGAGTAGATTCAGATTTCGTGAGTGAATTTCATCCATGAGTGTTTTATATCAGGACTATGCGCAAAATTTCCATTAGAAGTTTCAATTTTGTTCATCACCACATGGCTACTGTGGCCTGTCCATTGTGGATATTGGGTGAGTGACTATGAGTCTATACAGTGGTATGGCATGGGGTCTGGAGAAGGCATGGGTACAGAGGAATGGATGTGACATTGGGATAGGTGATGACCTAGTGATGTTATTGCTGGGCTGTTAATCCAGGCATCCAGATAAAGTTCTGGGGACCTGGATTTGAATCCAGCCATGACAAATGGTGGAATCTGAATTCTGTAGAAAAAAAATCTGTAATTCAGAGTCGAATGATGACAGTGAAACCATTGTCGATTGTTGGGAAAAACCCATCTGATTCACTAATATCCTTTAAGGAAGGAAACTGCCATCCTTATCCAGTCGGGCCGACATGTAACTCCAGACCCACAGCAATGTGATTGACTCCTAACTGCCGTCTGGCAATTACCAATGTGTAAGAAATGCTGGCCTAGCCAGCGATGCCCTTATCCCGTGAAAGAATTAAAAAAGAATGAGTGTGGGCATGGAGCATAAAGATGTTAGTGAGATAGTGGGGCACGTGGGCATTGTGGGATGCTGATAAATGATGGGCAAGAGAAGTGGGCTAAGGGTTGGATAGCCCAACAGTCATTGGTACAACTGGGCTTAAGTCCCAGAGAATTGAGGCAGGCCTTCTAACCAGCCTACCCCAGAACATAGCTCCCTTTGCCAAGAAGGAAAAACCTGCAAAACTTACGAACAAGACATACTGTCTGATTCCTCTTATATACTTCAAGGTGGAGGATCAGTTTGACCGATACATTCGTTTTTAACCATGACTGTTCCTTTGGTGTTTCCTTCTGGGCGTGGTTGCCTCTGAGCTGCTTCCAGAGACAGCCAGCCTGACATTATCCTGCCTCACTGCAAAGAAAAGATGATGCACAGGGGCCCTTTTAAAGGAGACAAGTCAGCCAAGATGGAAGATGTCCTGACTTGAGATTTCAAACTTGATGACAAAAATCTGGCTCTTGTTAGTCTATGTAAATCTCTGCTTTTGGCTTCAAATGACAAATGTGAGTGTGACCTAAAATATCAAAATAAACTGTGCACCAAAAATTTCACAGAAATTCAATGGTTATTCAAAAATATCCAAGAAGGATCTCAGTATCTTTTAAAAGCTGTAATGTGGCTAAATCCCATTTATCAAAATAACCTACAATGGTGAACATTCACCAACCAATTATTTTACTCAGTCATCATACAGAGCATTACAGGCTGGATTGCATTTATTCCCCATCATATTTGCCCTTGAGAAGTTGGGATGAGATTGTTCCTTGAACAATTACAGTGATGGTGTGCAGGTAAACTCATAATGTTGTCAGGAAAGGAGATCCAGGTTTGGACCCACTAAAAGTGAAAGAATCGTCATATAGTTCTAAGGTGGGATGCCATGTGGCTTGGAGGGGACTTTGCAGGTGGTGATATTCCCATGTTTCTGTTGCCCTTGCCCTTCGAGGTGGCAGAGTCATGAGTTTGGAAAATGCTGCCAAAGTGAGTTGGTGAGTTGCTGCAATGTATTTTGTAGATGGCACACATTGTATGTCACTGGTGGAGGGAATGAACGTTGATGGTCATGAATGTGACAATCAAGCAGGCTGTTTTGCCCTGGATAGTGTCAAGCTTCTTAACTGTACTTGGAGTTGCACTCATTCATGCAAGCGGAGAATATTCCATCACAGTTGTTATGATCCTAGTAGATGTTACTGCTGGATGAGTCAGATAGAAACATAGAAACATAGAAGATAGGAACGGAGGAGGCTATTCGTCCCTGTGAGCCTGCTCCACCATTCTTCACAATCATGACTGATTGTCTAACTCAACAGCCTAATTCTGCTTTCTCTCCATAACATTTAATCCTATTCGCCTCAAGTGCTATCGTCGCCCCTAGTCGCCTCTTGAATATGTTCAATGTTTTAGCATCAACTACTTCCTGTGGTAATGACCAGAATGAAAACTGGTTTGATTAATCTGTTGATCTTTGTTTTAACTTAACACATAGATGACAACACCTGGGAGACCTTTGCTCAGGAGAAACTGACTTAGAGGAACCTCCTGTATGAAGGGACACAGTTCTTCAAGAACGTCCGTCAGCTAAAGGAGGTATGGAAAAGGAACCAGAGAAAGGAATGCCAGCAATCTTGAGGTCAAGGACTAATTCCACCTTCCAGAAACACTTGGCAAATGTGTTGTCAGAAATGTGCCTCTAGGATTGGGCTCATTCGTCTTGCAAAGACCTGTGGAAACCATGACTAGTGACATGGAATTTCCTAGGTGGACAATCATACTCATTAGTGGGTCAGTACTGACAACAACAACAAATTTAACATCGTGGTCTTTCACTGAAACACAAGCATTTCAGGTCATAGATATGTTTTAAAAAATAAAACAGAAGCATATTACTGAAAAGACGGAAAAAAAAAAGAACAAAGCAAGCTATCTACATATAACCCAATTTAAAAAGCTTCTAACATTTGGCAAAACAAAATCCCATTCACTCTCTACCAGCATCAAATTACTGTTAATCAAAATCCAAAAATAAAACTCCCTTCTCTATCAAAACTGTCAGTTGATTTAACTGCTTCTTTCCCGTTCCAGTCCTGTGAGCTGCAACACATTTTACTTTGACTCACACAGTTGAGGTATTAGACTTTCAAAGTTTCATATAACCAAAGCAGATTTCTAATCAAACACTCCTGGTTTGGAAGTTTTCAACAACTGAAACCCTTACACTGAGGTCATTTCTTCCCTTAACTGCTCTGAACAATCTCCATGGAGAAACTATTCTGACTGACTTCCATCATGTCATCT